ATAAATATATTTGTATAAGTGCATTGTATATGTTTATATGCTAGTTACACAGACAACTTGGAAAGGAGCATCTTATTGTTAAGATAAATATATTTGTATAAGTGCATTGTATATGTTTACATGCTAGCTACACAGACAACTTAGAAAGGAGCAAACTAAAAGAATTCGACAGCGGGACAAATACTCATTGTGAAAATATCTCAGTGCTAGTAGTCGAACATTCTTCTCAAATGCACATCTGCATATAAGGACCTATCACAATATTAAGTTTCATGTACATACAATTAACAATGCAAAATAACTTGTGCTTGCAAAAGGTAAATACTGAAACAAATTTAAATGAGTGTTATTCTGTAGAAAACAATCAGTGCATGGAAATTACTTTGCTGTAAATTAGTGCAGGATGAACATGGTCATTAATTTATTTGTAGGGACACAGCTACAAAAAACTCGATAAACTTGTAACACTTTACCCACATTCACAAAGAATTAAAAAAAAAATTAAAAAAAAACTTAAGTAGCTAAACATAAGTACGTTGTAGTTCTAATCAATACGACAGAATATTATTTGCTCCGAAAGGATATGGCCAAACATTCAACGGGGTAAAATTCGTCTTGAAATAAACCTGCAAATATTTATGATTCTTATTCTAATACGGTTCCTCGCTTGGAACAGTCAGATAGCGAGGGGGGGGGGGGGGGGTTAATCTAGATTTTTAGATTTTCGAACTAACAAACCTCCCCCTTTTATCTCTATCAATGGAGTAACAAAAAGTAAATATGAGAATACAGATCAGTTTCCAAAAGCACTTATCACTAAAAATTAATTATCAAAGAAATATGTTCAGTTCCTGTATGCAAGCTTAACGTACTTGACCGATACGAAAGAAATGCTGTTCAACTTACAGGATGTTTGCTAATCCTTCATCAATTGTCCTATATGCCAATACCAAATCTACGTTTTAATCAAAATAAGCTTGTGATAATACCCTAAATTATTCCAGCTTAACAAGGAGATAGTTTTATATGAATTGCCTTTTGTAGATGTCGATATGAGTTTTAGTAGACCAAAAAATAAAAAGTTCGAATGAAAGATCGATTCTGATTGACTGAATTCATAATCAACCTCAAATTAAATACTAGCTTTTCAAAACAAAGTGAAAGGAGTCAATGTGCACAAGAAATAATAACACGAATAATCAAGTCCTTATATTCCGCTCACTACGATCTTGACGCTGGCGCTGTAATTATTCGAAATTAATTAAGTTACACTGATTTTATCTGCACAGCTCGGGTGACCCTACTTGACCCGAGCAATGGAGGAATAGTTCGGGTTAAAGGGTCATTCCGACCGAGCAAATTAAATAATATATACCGATTTGATAGGCCAATAACTGTTTTAACACATGAAGCCATAAATTTAAATGAACGTTTTGGAAATATGCGTACGATATTCAATCCACGGCGGCACCTGGGAAAGTTATCTTGTAGGGTAAAGAAAGGGGGGATACGCCTTTAAGTACGTCCTCCTTTGGTTGGAAAATATATAATGTTTTAGCCTAAAATCGACGAAAATCTTTGTATGAATTGACGTCCCTATGCCTTTATGCCTTTGAAAAATCCTGTATCCGCCCCTAAAGATAAGAATACATTTGAACTATGCAGCATTATATCTGAGGTAGTTAATGCACACCTTTGCTATGCATAGCACAGTAAGAACAAAGATTTTGCCAATGTCATGTGTAAACGGATTTTTTTTATATAGCACAATAAGAACAAAGATTTTGCCTATGTCATGTGTTAACGGATTTTTTATATTGCACAGTAAGAGCAAAGATTTTGCCTATGTCACGTGTTAACGGATTTTTTATATAGCACAGTAAGAACAAAGAGAATTTGCCTATGTCAGTCCTACAACTATGCCCAGGAATTTGCATCAAAATGATGTTGGATGGAAAAAAAGTTGATCACCAGCACCACTTAGAAAACACAAAATTTTCAAATAAATTTGTCAAGCCAATTATAAGTTTGTTACTTGATGAATACCACATGTTTAGTTTTCTTGATAATTGGTGGTAATTGTTGAATGATTGAATTAATAGTAAATACAAATGTTAATATTTAGTTAATTACAAGTGTAAACATGTAATACAAATTAAAAATTATAGGAAGACAAATAAAAATTCATTTTTTAAACGCCCGTTTACGGGACGTATTAAAGTATACCGTTGTCCGTCCGTCCGTCCGTCTGTCTGTCCGTCCGTCGTCAACATGTCGGACATTAACTCAAAAAACGCTTTAACCAATTTGCATAAAACTTTGGCGAATTGTTTATATCTATAGACGTGAGCTCCGTTTCGTTTTTTATAAATTTTAGATTTTACATTTCCGATTTATGGGGTTTTATTCATTAAAAAAAGGGGGATTTTCCAGTTTTCGGACAATAACTCAAGAATGCTTCCACCAACTTGCAAGAAATTGTGGTGAATTGTTTATATCTATTGACATGAGCTCCCTTTTGATTTTTATAAATTTTAGATTTTATGTTTTCGAGTTACAGGGTTTTATATATAGAAAAAGGGGGATTTTCCAGTTTTCGGGCAAAAACTCAAAAATGCTTTCAGCAGTTCTTATGAAACTTTGGTGAATTGTTTATATCTATTGATGTAAGCTCCCTTTAGAATTTTATAAATTTTACATTTTAGATTTCTGAGTTATGGGGTTTTATTCATTAAAAAAGGGGGGATTTTCCAGTTTTTGGACAATAACTCAAAAATGCTGTCAGCAATTCTCATGAAACTTTGGTGAATTGTTTACATCTATTGATCTAAGCTCCCTTTTGATTTTCATAAATTTCTAATATGACATTGAGAATTAATTGAACTTTATTTGTTTATAGTCTGACAACAGATTTACTAAGTATTGCGCAGTGTATTGCACAACAGCAAGAAATCTTTAATTGAATACAAATTCAATTCATATAACCAATTTCAAGTTCTTTGACTACATTTATTCAGAAACCTATAATATGTCAAATATTTAATTACAATCCAAATTCAGACCTGTATCAAGCTTGAATATTGTGTCCATTTTTGCCCCCAACTGTTCAGGGTTGGACCTCTGCGGTCGTATCCAGCTACACTCAGCGAATCAGTTTATTTTAATGTGTAGGGAAATATAACATCACAAACTTTCCTTAATCCTTTTTAATATTTGATTTCTATGATTAGTTATAAAAATGTTAAAATATTCAAATTTCAATTAATTTCATTGTTCCTGCCCTGGAACGGTAATATCAGAAACTGTTCACATTGTGTATTTTCATCTCTACTGTTATTACAAACTCAGTTTTTTGTTTTAAACATCTGTTTGTTAAGTAATATTATCTGACCCTTTATTAGCATTATGTGACAGATTTACAGCTCATTTTGGGGTCCTCTTCGCGGTCTAAACTATGTCGATTTCGTAGAAAAATTAGAGACAATGATTAAGATTTTAACAACTAAAGTTTCAAGTGTTGGGTGTAAATTTCAGGATAAAAACAATATATGTACGTTGTCGGAAAATAAAAATTTATTTGTACTCGCTACGAAACAGGAGAAAAGCTCGGCGAGCCTCGCTTTTCGTCCTGTTTCTAAAGCTCATACAAATAAATTTTATATTTTCCGACAATGTACATATATTGTATATATATATTTCTGTAATTCTTCGTCAATTTATCCCTTTCTGCACCCATTGTATAAAAAAAAATTTAATCAACGTGTGGTTCGTTTGATCTCAGTTCTTCATTGGTTAAAATCCGATTATGACGTCGAATTTTCTTGCTTTCCTCTGAATTTCCTATTGTGACGGCATGAAAAAAGGCGACCATGCCTGATGACGTCACATAGAAAGAACACATCTTTTTGCAGATCATTCAAAAAGAAGGAATAAGTTTGCCTGCATATTGTTTGAAAATCATTAGAGAAACAGATTCCACCACCAAATCTCGTGTAATACGATATTTATCCACTCTCGACAGTTAAATTTTAAATATTTAAAACGCTCGGCGAGCCTCGCGTTTTAAATTTGAAAATTTAATTGTCTCGAGTGGATAAATATCGTATCACACTCGATGCAGTGGTAGAATCTATATTTCTCTAATTCTTCGTCAATTTATCCCTTTCTGCACCCATTGTATAAAAAAAATTTAATCAACGTGTGGTTCGTTTGATCTCAGTTCTTCATTGGTTAAAATCCGATTATGACGTCAAATTTTCTTGCTTTCCTCTGAATTTCCTATTGTGACGGCATGAAAAAAGGCGACCATGCCTGATGACGTCACATAGAAAGAACACATCTTATTGCAGATCATTCGAAAAGAAGGAATACATTTGCCTGCGTATTGTTTGAAAATCATTAGAGAAACAGATTCCACCACCAAATCTCGTGTAATACGATATTTATCCACTCTCGACAGTTAAATTTTAAATATTTAAAACGCTCGGCGAGCCTCGCGTTTTAAATTTGAAAATTTAACTGTCGCGAGTTGATAAATATCGTATCACACTCGATGCAGTGGTAGAATCTATATATACATGTACAAATGATATCACATCACCGTAATAACGTTAAAATATCATTGGATTAACAAGTATAACATTTATATCTTTTAAATTTTCAAATATCAATATATGAATAAAAAGTGATGTTGTGTATACGTCAATGACACATCAATTAACCGAACGACAGATAATCATATAAATTTGAAACATCACTCGAACTCTAACTCGAACTTTAACTGGATGGTTTGCGTTCCCGCCGATCCGCCAGTATGTTCAACAATTTTAATTAAATAGCATGTGACAAAATATTTTTAATACGATTTACTACTATCGTGGGAGTCATAATGACATTAATCGGGTTCGGATTATTACATAAAAAGGATTATTCGACAAAAGAAGGACAAACCGGTTTCGTTTTACACTCTAACATATAAAGAAAATTACTGTAAGCAAACACAGAACATCAGAGTATTTCGAGTCAACAGGTCAGGACAGAAAGGTAAGGGTTATATTTTTATGTATCAACAAAGTCACGCCCTTTTACCGCCAATCGATACTGCAGATGCAACAGGTAACACTGGTCAGAATATGCTTTACACGATTTAAACCTCGATTGTATTGCAATAGACAATGATAGCAATAACAATAATAATATTGTTTTGAATTGCAATCTGGAACACTGTGTCACAGATCCTATCGTATCTACCGTAATGATTGCCAATAAAAGGGTTCCAAGTCAAATTTGCATGATCTTCTAAGGCACCGACCATCCATCTTCTGTGAGAATGAATGGGATTTTTTTAAGGGATTGTTATCAAAATCAAACTTTTTTCAATAACAGATTTTTTTTTTAACTCAGCGTATTTATTTTCCCCTGATTTTACATAGAAAGAAACTATTGTTCCATTTTTTGTAACAAATTATTTCTTTCAAGAAATGATTAAGAATTAAAAATGTATTTAAAAAAAACATGCCCCCCTCCCCCACGACAAAAGATTAATGGTTGGTGCTGTAGCATACAGAATGTTCAATTTTAGTCATTGCTCCTAATAATGTAATAAAGTCTTTCAACTCATTTAATAATTATATTGTTTACTTCATTTTGGCTTGTATTTTATGTCCTTTTTGGTCATATATCTCTTCATGTGTTTCGGTACTTGTACATTTTGTACATCTTTGACTTTCAAATATTTAGCTTTAAGCGTTCCTGATGAAGGTAAATGCAGAAAAGCGTATACAATTTAAAAAGTTTTATTTTCGTTTATTTTCTTGAAAGAGCTGCAAACACTGTAAGAATCACATTTCATGATCGAAATGCACAGGGAAAAAAATATTAAAACAAGCACAAAATGCAGTTTTTCAGATGCAACTTGTAAAGAAAAAAAAACCCAAGCAAACACTTACCAAACAGATTAAATAAGATGCTACACCTCAACCCCCCACCCCCTAATAAAAAATAATAAATAGAGTGATCGGCCATTTCACTGCCCATATTATTACATATTTTATGCAACGTATGACAAATTTAAATCTTAATAATCAATTCATTCTTGTGGGTGGGGCGTGTTTTTTCTCATTCGGGACAAACATTTTGATTCAACTTTAATCAAAATCTAAATGCCTTTTTATATTTTTTTTTTATATTATTTTACCAGTTTTCAATAGAAATAACCTTTGTTTCAGTTCCCCTGTGAAACAAATTGTTTTTCAAGAAATTTAGAATTAAAAAAATGTATTATAAAAAATATCCCCCTACAAAATTTAAAGATGAATGAAAAGTGCCTCAATTAAATGTCACTTTTACTTATACATTTAATTTACCAACGGTTTTATTTACGCGTGTACTTAACAAAATATATACCTGTTATAATCAATTTCATAGGGGTAGCTAGACGAGTTTTTCCAATTCACTTATATACTTATACTACTACTGAAGCGTATAAAAGACATGTTAAAATTAAATAACAACTGAACTTTTTTTAAAGTTGAATTCGACAACTAATGTTGAAATCCGTCTTAAATATATGAACATTTATATTAGAATGCGTTCTTTTGTGCCTATGTTTGAGCCCTGTGTGATTATTACACTGTATTATGTGTAAATCATTATCCAAAAATATATCCTATATAATAAATACGACCAGATAGACTTTGTACCTTAAAAAGTTTTGGTCTCTGACGGGATAACTAGGTATAGGGACTATTGATAAGCAACCTTTTCATTCTGTGATGGACACAATTCAATCTGTGTGTACTCCAAAGCCCACAAACATGTTAAACTCAGCCACATTATTTATGTGCCTGTCAGGAACCTGCAAGAAAAAAATAAAGGAACATTGCTTGGTGGCTTGATAATTAAGATTAACGTACAAAATCAACTTTTTATTAGACTCCATTAGTTTGAATCAAATTTGCACAATAAATCTCTATATTTGTGATAAATTTACATTTATAGAAGTATATGTACATGTATATAATAATACTATATCTCTTCTATAATTGTTGTGTCAGTATTGAAAATAGTATGTTCATTAAAATCGGATACATTACTGCAAACGAGCATATCGAGCAAACTGAAAAATGCACACTATGAGGAGGGAATGGGTGATGATAGTTATTGGTGCTTAAAATCCAGTGGCTTATATTATACGTCACACTCTATGAGGAGGGAATGGGTGATAATAGTTATTGGTGCTTAAAATCCAGTGGCTTATATTATACGTCATGATAGTTATTGGTGCTTAAAATCCAGTGGCTTATATTATACGTCACACTCTATAAGGAGGGAATGGGTGATGATAGTTATTGGTGCTTAACATCCAGTGGCTTATATTGTACGTCACACTCTATAAGGAGGGAATGGGTGATGATGATTATTGGTGCTTAAAATCCAGTGGCTTATATTATACGTCACACTCTATAAGGAGGGAATGGGTGATGATAGTTATTGGTGCTTAACATCCAGTGGCTTATATTATACGTCACACTCTATAAGGAGGGAATGGGTGATGATGATTATTGGTGCTTAAAATCCAGTGGCTTATATTATACGTCACACTCTATGAGAAGGGAATAGGTGATGATAGTTATTGGTGCTTAAAATCCAGTGGCTTATATTATACGTCACACTCTATGAGGAGGGAATGGGTGATGGTGGTTATTGGTGCTTAAAATCCAGTGGCTTATATTGTACGTCACACTCTATGAGGAGGGAATGGGTGATGGTGGTTATTGGTGCTTAAAATCCAGTGGCTTATATTGTACGTCACACTCTATGAGGAGGGAATGGGTGATGATGATTATTGGTTCCTTAACATCCAGTGGCTTATATTATACATAGGATGAGAGCACGTTAATGTTTTATAAATATGATAACTTTATTGCAAAATAAATTATGTATATTGTAATTAATGTACTGTCTATTTGATAAGTTTTGCTTAAACCGTCAGGGTTTTCTTTTGCAATAAAGTTATGATATAGATATGAAACATGCTTTGTACTAGACCAACATGCTAAGTGGGATTTTTAACGTTCTAGTACACAATAATATTGTAACAAATAGTTAATACCCAGTTTATCATTTTCAATGCTTATTTAAACTTTCATTTGAGAGTTCTTATACAAAATTTCACGCATTCATATTGAAGAAACAACTTTTACCCCAGCGCCATACTTTGGAAGTCCGCTTGGGTTCAATGGTTTGTACAAATGAACTTTCCAAAGTAAATATAGGAGTGATAATAAAACAGTTTGACTCGAGGTCATGGTGTTTAAATTAGCTAATTAGGCAAAAATATATAGGAGAATATGAGCATTTAAAAGGACACACATGCCAATTAGTGTTGTTACAAGTCTGAATGAAATAAAGAAGGTCAGCTTTTAACTGATTTTAAGCCTGGTACCAAAAAATGATTAGTATATTATTGGCCTCTAAACAGACAAAATGGGAGAAAACGCATCCTTGCTGACATCTTTGTCATTTGGCCTTTGGTGTATAGTTGTCGCATAGGCATTCACTCATAAATCTCCTTATTTTTATGTTTACAATGTAAAGACTAGAAAAGTTCCGAAGAAGCATTGTTACCAGAAACAAAACAAAAAAAACGTTTAAAATCATTAGATCCATACACTACAGAAACGAACATTAAAGCTAAATCCACAAAGGCACGTGTATGATTACACAATTAAGAACATTTGAACCTTTATATGATTGTCTTTAGAACTTTTTAGATTTTTTGCTTTGAGAAATAACACTTTTAATATGATGAAAGTCCAATTGATATACTTAAAAGAACTTTTAAGACTTTTGTTTTCAATTTTTAATAAATTTAAATTAGCTTAAGACCTACCAATTCGCATAGCTGTTGGTTACAATTTTCACAAAATACAAGTACTCCAGATTTGTTAAACTTTAAATCAAACATGAAAAATTAAAGAAGAAAACAGTTGAGGTTGATTTTGAGAAAATCGGCTGTTGAAAATTAACAGGACGAAATTTCTTGATATTTGATAATTCATCAATGTGAATCAAGAGAATGAACGCTGTTAATGAGACAGCTAATAGACGTAAAAAAGATCCAAAGGACATCTAGAAGTCAAATATACGGATATCAACAAAATTCAAATGTCAAGCTCTACATCGCCCCGAGTCTAGACAACGAGTGAATAAATGCACTAGAACCCAAATGACATAAACATTAAGATAAAACTAAACACAACTTTTGACGAGATTCCTGAATTTAGATAGGCATGTGAACATAATGGCGAATTAAAGCAACTTTTAAAACGTACAGATAAAACAATCAGTAAACTAATAGAATAAAATAATAGAAACACAAGTACAGGCAACACATATGCTGACAGTCACTGAAACTTTTGCCGTACAATATTGTAATATCGGCGGGTGAACTTCGGAGAAGATTTCATACAGAAACGTCATACAAAGTGTACGAAGACATAAATGTCTTAACGAAATGCTCGGGGAACTTTGTACAGAACTTTAATACAGGAAAGAAAAAGAAACATTTAGTCTTGTTTCAAACTATAAATTAACGAATAACTGTTATTCCTAGTTAATAACAGAGGCAATGGTTTCACAACAGCATTATACTTATAACCTTTTATCGTTGGTTTATTTTGTATTTTTACAGGGTCATGGCTGTTAACTACATTGTCATTGCCTTGCTAATTGTCCCAGTGATATCTCAAGGTAATAAATAATCCACACAAGACAGTTTCTACAATTTAAGTTAAATAATGGACAAATACCTTTATTAGCATAAACGATTAAGTTGTGATAATAAAACAGTTTGACTGGAGGTCATAGTATTAAGATGAGCTAATAAGGCGGAAATCCATGGAGTGCCAAATTTGAACGTCTACAATGAAAAACTTATTAGTTAGTGTTGTTATATTACCAGGTCAACCAAACCTGAATGCTTCGATAATTTGATATCTGTGGATATAGGGTATCCACCCATGACACAAAATCAGTGAGTGTACAGCAAAAAACACACAAAGAGCAAAGGAACAGCGCTTTTATTGCTGTTCTTTATCTTAAAGTCACAGTGATGCTTTCAACACAGAGTAAAAAAACTCTCACCTCATTGCAAGTTTAAGACGGCCCATAGCACCGGCTTGAGCGGAATTCTTTGCAAAAATAATTTGGATATACTTTGTAAGATGTAACACCACCAAATCGGGCCCGGTCAAAAAAGAGCATACTGGAAAGTAGTTCATATTTTAAACAAAATAGTCACTACGCATAGGTGTAAATATAAAACTATGTAGAATATATTTTAGTAATTAAGGTATCAGATGAAAGGAGAGGGACTGGTGATCCTTGTAGAACACTGATAATTTTGAATAATACAAAAATGTATGAATGAATTCTAAAATTAAGGGCATATATGGATATAAGAAGATATATGGCCTGTTTTTCAGATATGAAATACCTGATTTGGTGTATCCAAAATTCCGGTAACCAGTAGTGTCAGATGTATAAATAACGGTAAATTGATTCCGCCCCAAACATGTTTAGAAGTAAAAAAAATAACGTGGATAGGAATGAGGGCCAAGAATAGGTGGTGCGCGTCTTATTGAAATTTTAGTTACCTTTTATAGCTTAAAAAGGGCAACACCGTGAACAAAATGATACGGCCGCAGAATGTAGACACAACTGAGTTTAACAAGTGTTCTTGATATTTGAGTGTGGACACAGAAACCATTGTGTCTGCTGACGCACCACACATTAACACAAACAAATAACTGCACAATATCTTCCATTGGCAAGGGTAAGATTGAATTTTGACCTTGCAACTCAATTAAAGTATATAGGAAGCTGACACTGGATAAATGATACAACAGTTTATTTCATTAAATCTATATAAATATCCATCCCCTTAAACAAAAACAAAAAACAACAAAATGAATAGATAAAAAATAAATTAAAAAAAAACCAAAGTAACAACAATAAAAGACAAAGAAAACTACAGCATTTCTTTTACAGTGCCTCCTGGTGCGCCGGTAATCACTGGACCACAGGTTATTGTGAAGGGTGACCAGGTCTCTCTGACCTGTACTGTAACTGGAGGTTCACCTACACCAACTGTCACGTGGTTACGCGACAGTATAGTAATTGATTCATCATCATCAACCGCTGGAAATACAGTAACAAACACGTATTCATTCACCGCTTCTGACGCTGAACATCTCGCAGTTTTCGAATGTCAGTCCGAAAATGGTGTTTTACAGAATCCATTGTCTAGAACTAAATTCGTGGAAGTCTATAGTAAGTATGAATATTTTATTTCCACTATTTAGCCCGTCATTCAACAATCGTTTCCAACAAAATTAAATGTAAATCAAAGCATTTCAGCATCTCAAAAGTATGGTGGCATATATATGCCCCTACTAGTCACTTAGTTAAGTCGTCTTAATTAGCTAAATAAGTCGACTTGTCTGTCAGTAAATTAAGTCTACTTGTCAGATAATAAAATGAAACCATTTTGTAGAAAATAAAAAAATCTTTTAGCGTTTTTGCCAATTTCATGACATGTAAAAACAGACTTATATATCTGAAAACTGCACTTAACTAAGTGACAAGTAGACTTGTGTTATCCGACAAGTCGATTTATGTATGTGTCAAGTGTACTTGTGTATATGACAAGTCGATTTATATATTTGACAAGATACACAAGTTCACTTGTCAAATATAGTACACAAGTCGACTTGTCAGATACACTAGTCGACTTGTCAGATGTACATGTTGATTTGTCAGATACACAAGTACACTTGTCAGATACACTAATAGACTTGTCAGATAACACAAGTCTAATTGTCAATCAAGTCTACATGTCACTTAATTAGGTCTACTTGTCACTTAGTTAAGTGCACTTGTAATATATATAAGTCTGTTTTTATATGTCATAAAATGGGCGAAAACGCTAAAAGATGTTTTAATTTTCTACAAAACAGTTTCATTTTATTATCTGACAAGTATACTTAACTAAGTGATAAGTAGACTAAATTAACTGACAAGTCGACTTATTTAGCTAATTAAGACGACTTAACTAAGTGACAAGTAGGGGCAGATATATACCACCATACAAAAGCTTTTCAGCATGTCTGTAAATATATTGACATGATCTACTACTTTCAAAATTCTGTTATACACCATATATAAAAGAAGTCTTCGTTTGAATTAAAGGTAGTATAGAAGGCTACGTATATTATTTACTTACTATATAAAAATTTTCCATATTACAGCTATTGAATACTTAATTTGCTGGTATAGTATTCGTCACAAACTCAAACAATGAATATGGTTTTAAATAGAGTCGCATAACAAGTATACCATTTTGTCTTAAGGATCCCCACAGCCACCAGTTTTGACTGGACCAACATCAGTGGTCCCAGGAACACCAACAACATGGACCTGTACATCAGTAGGAGGCTACCCAATACAGACAATGACAATGAGAATGGGGAATTCACAGTTCACGAGCAATCAGTTCACAACAACTACACAATTTATAACCAGTGACGAATCCTATACTGTAGTCGGGACTCTGCGCTTTGCACCAACAACAGCCAATGATGGGCAGACACTTTACTGTGATGTTCTACATACAGAAACAAGCACCACACCACAAACAGTCAGCTTGCCATTGAGCGTGAGATGTAAGTATGACAGACAACAGTCTAGTCAATTATCAACATGAACACAAGTAGTAAGCATATCTAAGAGAGCTTTCCACAGCTACTTCATCGGTGTGTACTTGTCCACTTAGTGTGACACAAAAGTATATTGGTAATGTATTAACTCCTTAACATTTAGTTTGTCGTTGAGCGTAAGAAGTAGTTATGTCAGAAAATGATCAACAATCAATTTGTCATTGAGCAGCGTCAGACGAAAGTGTGCCAGACAAAGCTCCACAGTCAGTTCTCATTGAGTGTTAGAAGTAAGTTTGCTAGTCCGGCTGTTTGTGGAGGATTGCATAAATGAACATAAAATAAAAAGCAGTACAGGAAAAGCACTTAACTATAAAAATCGATCTATAATAGATATCAAAAACATAAAATAATCAACAAACAATACCGTAATAAAAATGCTTGCATTTACAGAAAGTAAACTCAAAGTAATAAGATATAAAAGCATGCCGTTCTACACGTCTTTATACAGTACCTGTAGATGTATTTCATAGCTGATTTCATACAACAACTTCGTGAAAAGTACAGGAAGACATGATCATTGTACATTGCCCAAAACAATTATACAGAAAAACAAAACTATACAAAATATAACTCAGCGAATTGTTGTTTACTAGTATCTAGAAAAATATCGGACGATCCCATTGAACAACAACAGTATAATGGTAAATTTGATAAAAAAATCCATTTATCCAAAGAGAAGGATTTGAAGGACAATATCTAAACTTGATCGCCTTATAAATATCATAACCGTAGAAGGTGTATGCGAAGTACCTCTTTTTATTATCATGCTTACACATTAATGAAAATGTTACATGCAGTGATATCCGAAGCGTCAATGCAAACACGCACATATATAGCCAAGTGAATTCTGGTGGATGAATTGCATTGGTGTATTTAGAAAACATCTGGCTTGTTTACATATACTTTATCATATAAATACATGTATTGTTAAAGATATCTATCAATATAGGAATACATCTGAATTAATAGAAACACAGTCAGTTCCCATTGGAATACCAATAAATTGGCGGTATACTTTGTCTCCTAAGCGAGCATACACAAAATCAAGCACACATTAGTGACACACGGATTTTGATAAATGGCAATCTGTCAAAAAATCGAAATATTATTGGGGGGGGGGGGGGGGGGGGGGGGGGGGTAAATAGTCAGTTATAACATGCTTACAATTAACATTCGTATATACTTTTGCCTATTCACACGTCCTAATTTTATGTTATAGCTCCATTGGCAGTGACAGCCCCTCGTACGTTCTATAATCCTGGAGAGACAGAGACCGTTACACTGTCATGTATAGTAACAAACGGAAATCCCACTCAAATCAGATGGTACAAAAGTACTCAGCAACTGACTGTAACTGGTAGATTCTCTGGAGGTACTGTCTCTAGTCCATCATTGACCATAACAGGTGTCGCTATGAGTGATGCTGGTACCTATATATGCGAAGCTACAGATGGTAGTGCAACCGTTAGAACCAACAACATCCAGTTGTCTCCAATAGGTATGTTACATGTATTTGCCTAGTTAGTTAATGCATTCAGAAATGTTCAATACTAAGTTTTTTGCTTTGTGTATAATTTTTTTTTATACCCATGTTTTTTCTTTAACTTTCTTCTGTCTGTTCTCGCTATGTTTTTCTTGTTTTATCCATTTAAGGCGTCGCCGTTTTTTTTTACTTGTGTGGCAAAATAGCTATTGATTTAATTTGCCTGCTGTTTCAATAAATGAGTTTTACCATTTATAATGAACCCTTTCTCATATTATTATATTCACTGCCCTTTCTTAATTGAATTTTCTGTTTAGATTATATTCTGCTTAGAACCCTCATGCTAATAATTCCAATTTTATTCTGCTTAGAACCCTCATGCTAATAATTCCAATTTTATTCTAAATTTATCTCTGAACATGACATCTTCTACTCTCAAAATTAACCAATTACTTCATTTCCTCGAGTAGATGATGGCATTTCATTAAGTAATTTTTATTACAAGTCACCAATTAAACTTAAAAGCTAAAAATAGGACAATAAGGGTTGATTGGGAATGATATTTATGTCAAAGGATTGACGGCATTTTTGTATTTATATTTAACATCACGAAAGCAGCACCTGCATGGAGATATAATCTCCCAGTTAATACAACAATAAGTGGCTACTTTGCTATTGAATGCGGCTTCTTCTTGTATTTTTAATTCGCCAACCGGGGCTAGATATGGGCTAGGAACTGTGTGACCTGAATTTATTCCCAGTGTTGTCTGGAGGGAGTTCTTTGTATAGTGTTTTACTGTCTGTCACTGACTTACGTATTTTTGTATTTTATCGATGTGTTGTCTGTCCTTCCTAGAATTATAATTTTGAAAGCCAAATTAAGTATTTTCTTACTTTATGAGGGACACCAGAAAGTTTGATACTCGTAGTGACGAAATTACCTTTGTTATTGGTAGTGACGAAGTTATCTTTGTTATTGGTAGTGACGAAGTTATCTTTGTTATTGGTAGTGACGAAGTTATCTTTGTTATTGGTAGTGACGAAGTTACTTTTGTTATTGGTAGTGACAATGTTACCGCTTTTCGTCGATATAATTATGATAAACGAAAGGTTATTCATTTATAATGAGTATGATGGTATATTGATTTCTAGTACTTGTGATACATTTTGTTTTCTTGAACTTTAAATGGTACTGAAAAAAAAGTAAATAACAAAAATACCGAACTCCAAGGTGCCTTCAGAGGAAATTCAAAACGGAAAGTCCTTTATAAAATGGCAAAATCAAAAGCTCATACACATCAAACGAGTGGAAAACAACTGTCATATTCCTGACTTGGTACAGTCATTAATTTTCCTTATGTAGAAAATGGTGGATTAAACCTGGTTTTATAGTTAGCTAAACCTCTCACTTGTATGACAGTCGAAAGGGGTCAAAAATCACAGCCATTACATTTATAGTTTGAACCATTTCAAGACGATTTGCAGGGGCGGATCCAGCATTTTAGGTTAGGGGGGTGGAAACTTAAAGATACGCCCGCCACGACCCCGCCTGAATCCGCCCCTGATTTGTATTCTTCAAAACAAAGCAGATATGTATTTTTTCGAAAAGGAAAGAAACATTAAATGGTTTTACTTTATTATGGAATACATCTATTCTTTTTTGGTTTTATTAGAACGATCTGCAACAGAGTATGATATCATTACGACTATCCTCAATGGTTACAACAGACTTGTCAGACCCATCGATCCTGTAAACAACGTAACACACTCTTTGATTCCAAAAGAAACCATGGTCTTTGTAAGTATATATAGTACTTGACTCATATCAGGAGAATTGTAAAATACCAGATAAGATTAATCAGTGTGGTCTTCTACATGTAGGTTATATGCACTATGTAACTACAAGTGATCATTAAACATCAGTATTCAACTTTCCAAAGTATTTTTTTAAGGGAAACATTATCTTTTAGCACAATCATTACATATACACAACACCACACCACACTTAACAACACAACACAACACCAACACTAAACACAACACAACTCTACACTACACTACATTACACTACACAACTCTACACTACACTAAGATTAATCAGTATGGTCTGCGTGTATGTTATATGTACTATGTAACTACAAGTGATCATTAAACATCAGTATTCAACTTTCCAAAGTATTTTTTTAAGGGAAACATTATCTTTGAGCACAATCATTACATATTCACAACACAACACAACACAACACAACACAACACAACACCACACACTACAACACACAACACTACATTAAAATTTAAAACAAAACAATATAATACTATACTATACTTTACTATACAACAATTTTTATCGAACCAAATAAGTGCTACCAGCAATGCAACAAAACATTTGAATTGTAAACACCAACGCAGTTTATTGTACCTAGATGAAATATAATTGTAACGAATTAAAAAAAAAAAGTCCTTCATTCAAACATTTCACCATAACATTCCTTCATGCAAATTGTATTTATAGATTCTGAAAATGATTTTCATGAAAGGGTTATATATCTCGGGAGATCTTTAATCAGATTTCATTCAATCTCATTAATAGGATCCTAAGACACTTGTTTTTAAAGCCATGCAGTGCGTCTCCTGGAATGATCCAAGACTTTCTTGGCCAAGAGGACAACCAAGAGTTAGCTTACCTTCATCTGTTATCTGGTTACCGGATATTGTTATGTTAGGACAGTAAGTACTAGTAGGCTAAGTACCAGATATTGTTATGTTGGGACAGTAAGTATTAGTAGGTGAAGTACCAGATACTGTTATGTTAGGACAGTAAGTATTAGAAGGAGAAGTACCAGATACTGTTATGTTAGGACAGTTAGTATTAGTTAGTACCAGATATTGTTATGTTAGGACAGAAAGTATTAGTAGGTGAAGTACCAGATATCGTTATGTTAGGACAGTAAGTATTAGTAGGTTAAGTACCAGATATTATTATGTTAGTACAGTAAGTATTAGTAGGTGAAGTACCAAATATTGTTATGTTAGCACAGTAAGAATTAGTAGGTGAAGTACCAGATATTGTTATTTTAGGACAGTAAGTATTAGAAGGTTAAGTACCAGATGTCGTTAAGTTAGGACAGTAAGTATTAGTAGGTTAAGTACCAGATATCGTTAAGTTAGGACAGTAAGTATTAGTAGGTTAAGTACCAGATATAGTTAAGTTAGGACAGTAATAAAATTGAGAATGGAAATGGGGAATGTGTCAAAGAGACAACAACCCGACCATAGAACAGACAACAGCAGAAGGTCACCAACAGGTCTTCAATGCAGCGAGAAATTCCCGCACCCGGAGGCGTCCTTCAGCTGGCCCCTAAACAAAATTTATATACTAAGTATTAGTAGGTTAAGTACCAGATATAGTTATGTTAGGACAGTAATTGATATTAGGTTAAGTACCAGATATTGTTATGTTAGGACAGTAATTATTAGTAGGTTAAGTACCAGATATTGTTAAGTTAGGACAGTAAGTATTAGTAGGTTAAGTACCAGATATTGTTATGTTAGTACAGTAAGTATTAGTACTAGGTTAAGTACCAGATATTGTTATGTTAGGACAGTAAGTATTAGTACTAGGTTAAGTATCAGATATTGTTATGTTAGGACAGTAATTATTAGTAGGTTATGTACCAGATATTGTTATGTTAGGACAGTAAGTATTAGTAGGTTAAGTACCAGATATTGTTATGTTAGGACAGTAAGTATTAGTAGGTTAATACCAGATATTGTTATGTTAGGACAGTAATTATTAGTAGGTTAAGTACCAGATATTGCTTTGTTAGGACAGTACTTATTAGTAGGTTAAGTACCAGATATTGTTATGTTAGGACAGTAATCATTAGTTAGTACCAGCTACTGTTATGTTAGGACAGTAATTATTAGTTAGTACCAGATACTGTTATGTTAGGACAGTAAGTATTAATTCTTTTAAGGTTTATGTTGAGCAGGATCTTCTTACCGTTCCGAAGCACATGATATCACCCTCTGTGTTTGGTGGGGTTCGTGTTGCTCAATCTAGAGTTGAGTTTTATAGATTTGTGTTTGTCTTTTGGTCTTTTTATGCCCCAGCCGCTAGGCGAAGGGGCATTGTGTTACCCTTGTCCGTCCGTCCGTCCCGTCCGTCGCGTACGTCCCCAAAATTGGTTTCCGTTCTCTAACTTTAGTTTGCCTCAACCAAATGTTATAAAACTTATACACAATGCTTATTACCACAAAACACAGATCAAGTTCGAAATTGGGTAGCGTCACTTTTACTGTTCATGAGTTATGCCCTTTATTAAACATAAAAATTGCTTAATTTTTCGTTTCCGTTAACTAACTATAGTTTGCCTCAATCAAATGTAATGAAACCTATACTCAATGCTTATTACCACAAAACACAGATCATGTTTAAAATTGAGTGGCGTCACTTTTACCGTAATGTTCTTGAGTTATGCCCCTTTATGATTGAAAAAAATGCTAAATCAGTCGTTTCCGTTCTCTAACTTTAATTTGCCTCAACCAAATTTTATGAAACTTATACACAATGCTTATAATCACAAAACGGTCTTAACTACGTGAATCCTGCATCTGTATGTGGAAGTTTACTTATGCATTTTAAGCCTGGTACCTTTGATAACTATTTACAAGTGGGGGCATCTGTGGCCCATAGACACATTTTCCATTTATTTCTGGTTTTTTTTTACATGGCGTTGTCATGAGATTGATTATTTATTGAAATGATAGCTTATCTAGCTTATATAAGATAATAGAAACCATATATATATATAGCTTATAAGTTCAGGAAAATATTTAACAAATATATGTAGGTACAAGATCAAGCTCATTGTATTTTATTTTGTAGCCTCCACAATTGTTTTGCACACTTTAATGAGTGTGTCTTGTTTGATGTTCAGTTTTAACTCTGATATATATTATTTTCGTTGCAGGGAAGTTATGCACGATTTTGAGGCCAAGGTGATAGTTATGAAAAACGGAGACGTGACGTATTGTCCACAGGGTGTAATTAGGTCCACAAATTGTGAGGAAAAGTCGGGTTCAGTTTGGGAATGCAACTTCAAATTCCTATCATGGTCCTACGACAAAGTTATGTTGGACATTCACTTCCCATCAGTCCTCACTAGACCGTCCATCGATATGTCCATCTACTATGAACATGATGACTATGAAATCGTTAGTCAGTGTCCAGTACGACGTGAGATGAGCTATCCCTGCCGAGTTGGTACCTACCCTGAACTGACATACACATTTGTTATCAGACGTCGTAGATCCTACTGCAGAAACCTCAACGCAAGCCCAACTTGTAATTAGAAGTTATAGCTAGATTGCAGAGGTTACATAGTGAATTCAAACTTGTAATCAGTTAAGATTGCCACCAATTATAGACTTAAACCAAGCAATATTGTGTCGATTGTTGTCATCAGTGATGGTTCACAAATAGAGCAGATATTATTGTATATAGACATTGATATAAGTGCAGATAATGCAATGGTCGGAAAGAGTTTCCTTTGTAGGTTTGTAAATGTTCTTAATGTATTAGACAATTATATTTTAATCTTGTTCTTTATTAGCTGATAGTGAATTATATTTATAAAATTAAATAGTTTATATTTTAATATAATCATATTTCTGCCTACTAATGTTGACCTCAATTTGATGATATTTTCCCATATAGCAGAATGTTTTTGTAAAACATGAAATTAAAGATATAACATCCAATTTTGCGTTTTATTTGTATTTATGTCATTTAAATGTACTGTCTTCAAGTAAGAAGTATGTATGTAAGAGATAAATTAGTCCTGGTAAAAAGTGTACAAATATTACTAGTATAAAAAGTCCATGGTTACAGAATTTACTAGTATATGAAGTCCAGTGTCAGTAATTTATGTCCCCAGACTAATTTTCCTAGGAATCAATGTCCATAGAATCAAATTGAATATTCATCGTTAAAATTGTCCATGTCCTTTATTTAACCAGGAAAATGTTTAATAAAAGAAATCATTTACATGTTAACAATGGAATTTTTAATTCTTTTGTTTAAATGTTGTTTTACAGTTGTGCACTAATCTTTTAATAAAATTTATGTGCCCAGACTAATTTACCTAGGAATTCATGCCCCAGGTCATTAATATTGTTAGGTAAAAACATCATGTCCTTTATTTTAGTAGGAAAATGTGTAATAAAAGAAATCATTTACATGTAAACAATGGAATTTTTAATTCTTTTGTTTTAATGTTGTTTTACAGTGTTGCTTTAATCTTTTATTAAAATTTATGTGCCCAGACTAATTTTCCTAGGAATTCATGTCCAGGGCATTAATATTCCTAGGTAAAAACGTCCATGTCCTTTATTTTTATGGGAAATTTTGTAACGAAAGAAATAATTTTCATGTAACCAATGGAATTTTTAATTCTTATGTGTTTTTAAATTTTTTAACAGTTGTGCATTCATATTTCACTATTTTATTAAAATATTGGTGTTTTTTTTAATAATTAAACTGACTTGTTTACCTAGAAAAATTGATATTACAGACTTTTATGATGTACATAATTACAAATGTTCCTTTCTTCATTTTAATATTGATTAATTTTAAAGAATGTCTTGAGAAATAAAATTTTTAAGGGACCCTTTTCATAGAAAAAAATGAGAATACGGATATATAAAACTTTTCCTATGAAAATAAGTTCCAGACATATTTTACTAGGTATGGACTTATTTTCCTAGGAAAATTTATCCAGGGACTTACATTCCTATTAAAATTATGGTCACGGACTTGATTACCTAGGAAGAAAAGTCTGGCGGACAAACTTTACTACCGGACTGAATTTACTGTTACACATGCACGGTGTTGAATGTTAAAACACGTCAAAACGAATTTAGGGTCATTAAATGTTCATTAAATGTTCAATTGGTCGATGCCATTTGACTTGAAGTTAAAAGGGATCAAAGCTGCCCTGTACAAAAAACTAAAATAAAAAAAAATATAATTTGGCATATTTTTTAGCAATATGTTAAATAAATTTTAGTTTTGAAGTTGTCGGCCCCGACATTGCATATCGGCAATCATATAACAAGAAAAAAAAATTAAAAATTTGTGGACTAACACTTTATTAATTGTGTACATCCGAGGCGACCATCTTCATTTTCATCCAGAACTAGAAAAAAACCTATAGTTTTATACAACAGATAAATCAATAGGAGCAAGATTGAGCCATATGGAACTCTTTCCTATTTTCTTAATATTCTTACATTAGGACTCAGTGGTCGAGTGGTCTAAGTGCTTCATATACAATAATAACTAGCTTGTCAATGCTGAAGTCGAGAGTTTGGACCCTGAACGTGGCAACGTGACTTAATATTGTAAAGACATTTGTCAATTGTTGAAGGCCAAATGTTAACCTCTGTATGTCTTTTTGGTTTTTTAGTAGCTGTCTCATTAATGCATACTGAACATCCTGTTTTATTTATACAATAAAGTTCATACCAGAAAATAAATCGACATTGCAAGTAAGACCAAGGGAAAACTACAACTTGTACCTTCAATCGATATAACTAACAATACCAAAGGAAAACTACAGTTTGTACCTTCAGCCGATATGGCACGGAATATTAAAGGAAAATTACATTTTGTACCTTCAGCCGATATGCCACATAAAACCAAAGAAAATATACATTTTGTACCTTCAGCTGATATGCCACATAAAACCAAAGGAAATGTACATTTTGTACCTTCAGCTGATATGCCACATAAAACCAAAGAAAATGTACATTTTGTACCTTCAGCTGATATGCCACATAAAACCAAAGGAAATGTACATTTTGTACCTTCAGCTGATATGCCACATAAAACCAAAGAAAATGTACATTTTGTACCTTCAGCCGATATGCCACATAAAACCAAAGGAAAATTACATTTTGTACCTTCAGCCGATATGCCACATAAAACCAAAGGAAAACTACATTTTGTACCTTCAGCCGATATGCCACATAAAACCAAAGGAAAACTACATTTTGTACCTTCAGCCGATATGCCACATAAAACCAAAGGAAAACTACATGTTGTACTTTCAGCCTATAAAACACATAAGACGAATCAAGAACTACATTTTTTACCTTAAGCCGATTGTTATATTCCTATTTTGGGTCTTCTGGTTATCGGGACTGCCTCACACAATTTATCTCTTATGTCGGAAAAGGTGGAACATGTTTTTAGCTATCAATTATTAAGTTAGTTGTCGTCTGCCAGTGCAGTAGCATGGCCTTGTATTAAAAATTGAAAGAAGTAAAGTGTGAAGTACAGTTTATTTGTCGACTCGTTACTTGGTTCTTACCATAGTCCCCCAGCCAAGTACACGATATGGTGGAGGACCCGGGCATTTGTCGACTCGTTACTTGGTTCTTACCATAGTCCCCCAGCCAAGTACACGATACGATATGGCATACAAGACCAAAGGAACACTACATTGTGTACCTTGATTTGCATGTATTATAATATCAAAGCAAGCTTACAATAACTGAAATCTATCTGAAAGATCTTTATGAATTATAGTCCAATTTCCGACTTTGATACCTGTTTCAGAATTTGTTTTGCAAAGCAATTTAAGGCAAACTGTAATTGTGTAATCTACTTTTCCAATCACATTCTTCCAATAAATGGTAAAATTTTTATTCTGAAAAAGCATAATTAAAATTCATTTATCTTTTATTTGTTTTCTATAACTACATGTATTAGCATTTACTTATCTTTAGTGCTGGTTCAGTTAATTCGCATGCACGATTAGAGGGATACATTTTTTCTCATTGGTTCAGTGATAAACGTATGTGCGGCCATAGATCAGACATCAACATCAGTGCTAGCGACATTGTTTACCAGCATTTTAACCAGCCTGATCATTCAATCGTTTCTATGCAAGTTCGCATCATCGAAAAAATATACCATAGGACTAACAACCCTCATCTTGCAACACCTCTCCTTATACAAAAAGAAGACTACTGGATTCGACAATTGGGAACTGCGACACCATATGGTTGTAATGACAAAATTGATGGTATAGGTATTATATCTAGTCCTTTCTGTAGCTCGGTGAATGTGATGAACATTTTCAACACTACTCCTCGACGTAGACGCAGTCATGGTCATCGTCATTATACATCACCTACTCTCCATTATGTCTCTTTTAATGACCTGCTGCCGTTTATACAAAAGTCGTAAGGTATTCATCACTTTCGCACGAAGCTTTTTTCATTACCCCTTTCAAAACTTCATTCTCTGTACAACTTATTCTTTGGAAACCACTGTTACAAACCCTCATTCAAACCAATACAAACTTACAGCTATCATTTCGGATATTGCAAGTCACAGACTTTTCAAACCAGTTCGCATTGGAAAAAATGAAAAAGAGAAAAGATCCTTTCTTAAACTTTCCTTTGCCAACAAAGGTCTCGATGCCATCAACTTGGGCAATATCCTTCATCATAAATTAGTTCACTCGAAAATACCTCCCTATTTTAAAGATCAGTCTGTACCTATCATTTCTTATACCTTATACCAAACCAATTGCAACTAAAATTTTCAATTACAAACACGTGTTGCAGGATCTCAATATTGACGACTTCAAGTCTAAACCTCCTGATTACACTTGTGCTAGTTCCCCATTCATATATAATCCGGCTGGCCATGTTATTACTGGTGACCTAAACATTGTCAATAACACTTCTCTGCGAAATGTGTTATCCAAAGGCCCAAAATATCGTGAGCCTAAATCCATCAATTGGAAACACAACTTCAAAATACAAATCAGAATTAAGAAACTGAATGGGTCTATCAATACCCATGCTACATCAATCTTTAAAGACCCAAATGTTGCTAAACACTTGTCCTACCTCCTTGACAAATATGTTGTTGTCCCCGCAGATAAAGCCCCAAATAACATCGTTTCTGTGTGTAAATCACATTACATAAACTGCTTGATAAATGAATTAGGTATTGACAATTCACTTGGAAAACTCAACATATACCCCCACGACACTTACTAAAGAGGAAATCCTAGGTCTGTTCCTTTGGAATTTCAACTGGATCTTCCATCACTGTATTGGATACCTAAACTACACAAGTGTCCTTACAAACAACGCTATATTGCTGGGTCTTCCAAGTGCTTCACGAAACCTCTTTCTAAATTATATTAACATCGATTTCAGCAATTAAAGCCGGGCTTCAAAATTATTGTGAAATTACCTTTTCTAGAGGTGGTGTGAATCAGATGTGGATACTAAAAAATTCCAAAGATCTTTAAAGTACATACAATCTAAGACTCTTTCATCTTGCAATAGTATTAAAACATTTGACTTTTCTACACTTTACACAAGTATTCCCCATTCCAAACTAAAAGACAAATTGAAAGAGTTGGTCCTGCTTTGTTTCATAAAAAAGAATGGCCAACGTAGATACAAGTATCTTGTCTTAGGGAGGGATAAATCCTACTTTGTAAAAAATCACTCTGATTCTAACAAAAAATTCTTTGAAACTGACATTATCAAGATGCTTGATTTCTTGATTGACAACATATTTGTTACGTTTGGAGGACGTGTTTTTCAACAAACAATCGGCATTCCCATGGGAACCAACTGTGCCCCTCTTCTTGCCGACTTGTTCCTTTATTCATATGAGGCTGACTTCATACAGGAACTTCTTAGGAAGAAAGAAAAGAAGTTAGCAGTAT